TACGTTGCAGTCTGAAAAACGAGAATAACCGGAGAAGATGACATACACATTAATTGTTTATAAAGTAACCTACGTTACAGTCTGAAAAACGAGAATAACCGGAGAAGACGACATACACATTAATTGTTTATAAAGTAACCTACGTTACAGTCTGAAAAACGAGCATAACCGGAGAAGATGACATACACATTAATTACAACAAAAATTCAATTCGAAAGTCGCAAGTTAATTGTTTTCCTATTATCAAATGTCAACATTTTGTTACCGCTTTAGTGTCAAACTACACAATGGTCTTTCAGCGCTGTATTTCGTACGAGGATTGAGCCCGAATTTTAGCTTTATAAACTGTGTAACTTTGCACTTGAAAAATAAAAACAAATACTTTTCGTATTTTGATCTTATTTTTGAATGTGTCCACAAGGTTACGTTTTATTTATGTTTGACATGTGTAAAATAAAATAATTTAACGTGTTGAAAGTTTTCACACCTGAAATGAAGATATTTCTGAGATAAGTTTAAAATTTTTCTCCTCGTATTCTAATACGAATTAGTATGATTTGAGAATTTTGAGAGGGAGGAGAAGGGCAGATTCGATATAGACCCCCCTCATAGTGTAATAGTTATATATATATATATATGTTCAAATGTGCATATATGTATATTTTTTATATACCACAGTGTTTCCAAAAGTGGGAGGTTTATTTAGAATTAAAATTAATTCAGCATCTTTGTTTTCGGCCCGTTTTTTGGCGACCCCCCCCTCCAGAAAAAGCTTCACGGAATAAGCCGACAAAAATTATGTTGAATTAATTAAATGATACAATATGTCGAAAAGAGATGTTTTTGTTTTTACTACGGCACTGTTTTTCCATCACCCCGCTAAAGTTATAGGTTGGGGGGGCCTTTTTTTATTCACATCAAGGGGACCTCAGACTAAAACAGTTTGGGAACCACTGATTTACCATAAACCAGTCGTCAGCTATATACACTTGGACTGATTCCAAAAACTCCATTTGAGATCGCTCGGTTAAAATACATGCAAGTAATTAATGTTTGTACACATCCTTGGCTATCAGCCATTTGTCTTGTCGTCGTAAACATACACCGTTCAGTACTGCTCCATTTAACGTAACGTCCATGAAGATAATATAGCCCTAAATGGAATTATTTCTTTCACTTACTTTCACAGATATTGGTAGAGGAACCATTTTAAAGCCACTGGATGGTTTATATCAACACGTCAGCTTTTAAAACAGTTCAGATGTCACTAATATTAGACTTTAATCCTCTGAAATACGAAACATTTACTGCGACATTGACTATTAAAGTAACGACAGTTTAGTTATTACACATGCAACACACACATATACATGTATGTACACATAAATATACAAAACGCCCAAACTTGTGTAGCATATATTAAACGTGTATACACCATACAGTATATGTATATATACATATATGTGAAATACACGTGTGACACATAGATACAATATTAACATAATAAATACAATTAATGCTGCAATAGTACTTCACTCTTTGGATTATGTTACTCTGATGTCCTGAGTGCTGAATATCGCAGCTATTCTAGAAGTTGACCAAATCTGTCTCGTGTCTCAACCAAGAAATTGATTAATTCATTCTTTTATCACATTTATATCGAGGTCCTTTACGAAGCAATAGCCACGTGTTTTTATATTGAGGAAAACAAAACTTAAAGTTAAAGATAACACACTTTAATAGGTCAAATAATAATAGTACTTGACGATATTACTATAATTTTGATATTCAATGTTTAAATAAAAAATGTTGAAGCACTGACACGAAAATTACTTACCTAGATAAAATATTTGGTGTGCCGTATTGGTCTTCATTGCTTCAGCAGACTCAAAGAACGTGCGTTAAGAGATTAGTGTTGTTTAGGTAACCAACACTTTCATGTAAAAGAAACCAGATCTATAGGGAAGGTGGGATGCCTAACTGTTTTTAAGTTTTCTTCGCCTCTAACCTTAACTGACCGTCTTTTATTTTTTTTAAATTTTTGCTCTAAAATGGCAGGATTTTATTTGTTGCTATAAAATGGTAGGATTTTACTTTCAAATGATTTTGTAGTAGCTTGTTCTTTCTTTAAATTAAGAAGAAAAGAACGTTGTTGGTTCTTTATACTTAGGATTATCTAGCAAATACAGGAACTTCGCAGGAAGTACAAATCTTCGTCTTACCCAAATACGTGTATTAAACCAAATAGGTTTATTTACAATTGTAATTTTCTATTTCAGATAAGACCGAAACCACGAGCGTAAGTTCTACGACGAACTCGTTTCTGAAATGCGCGTGTTCGCTCACAAACAGACCTTCGCCTAGATCCTGGTAAGGGTTAGGGGTGAGAAGTTTTCCCCTAGCATCAAATTGCCCTGGTTTCGAATTACATATGGCCTGCTCGTGCGAATAGAAAAGCTTCAAAAGTCTATTATCACTAGGAGTAGTGATTGGAAACACAACGTAAGAGGGAACTTAGTGCCTTGTTTAGAGTAGTTAGATATGCTAGTACTGTGAGTCAATTGTAAGAAACGTAGCCTAATAAACAGTGTCACAGTTATCTTACATGTTCGTTCTATTCTATGGATCAATCTTGTAACATTCTGGAAATATAAGATAATGACGTCATACAAATCTTTACACAAAATCATTTAACAACGAACTACTAAAGAACTGATAAATAACTTGAAGCATCAATTGTCCAGAATTTCTTACGTAGCAAAAAAAACAGCATAATGGGCTATCTTAAGCTATCGCCACCGCAAGGATCGAACCCAAAATTTAGCGTTATAAGCTTTTAGAAATTATTTTTTACTGCCATTGATGGTTGATTTTTTAAATATATACACAGAATAAAATTACCATCTTACAAAATGCTTACATCTTCAGTTATTTTAGGTTAAAGCTCCGTTGGGTTATCTGCTGGATTCATTCCAGGGAATAGAACCCAGGATTTTAGCGTATCAAGTCCGGGTGACATTCATAAAATATGCAAGTCAACAGCAGGTAAATGTTGATTTTTTAAAAAGTGAAACGATTAATTAATAATATATTGTTATGTCTCTTTTCGTTAGTTAATTTTCCGTATAATTTCTTTCCGAAGAAACTTTAGCGATACAAGTCCTTTGTTAAATAAAACTGGTTTATTCTTTCTAAATACAACTTTGCAATACACTTAATTTCCACAGTCGCGCTATAACAAACGCTATAATTCACAACGAACGTCTCACGTGCTCGACTCAACAATACGTCTCTCTGTCCGCAGTTCAATTACACATTACATTGTTGCCGTCAGTTCTTACCTGTTTATATATATACAATACTACCGCATATCTAGTAGGCTCTCGAGATTTCAGGAAGGTACGTGAACGTTCGAGAAGCGCATGACGTGTTACTAGAGTTACGTGACCTCCGCTGTCGTAACAATATATTATAAGCAACATATTTATGACCTTATCTTAATGATAAACGCTGTGGTTTTTGGCTAGTTTTGCCCTAGATCTATTTAATTACTATTTCTTTATTGTAGAGTTAATATCGAATATAATATATATATATATATATATATACCCAAGAGTACGATAGTGACTTCATCCATGTTAAGAAGATGGATTGACACTACTCTAGTCTATATTACGGAACCGATTTTTTTGCCGAATCTGGAGTATTATTGCCACAGCTGTTCATAATGCTGTAATGCTACAACTGTTATATTTCTCGATGTATCTAAATAGTCTCATATCATATTGAAAGTAGCAGATTTATATTGTTACCACTCCGTTTGTTAATTAACTTTCCGTAACTTCGTTCCGACGAAACTTAAGCGG